TATTGATGACTTGGAGTACAGTTAAGTTCAGAAACTCGAAGGCAAGACGTACCGCAGCACTCGCGAGAGCAAGCATTGGTACGGGAATTTCCTTCTCGAGTGGCTTCTCAGTGCTGGATGACACAAACCGGACGGAGTGAGCAACTGCAAGTGAAGGCTTGCCACGGCGGGGTGAGAAGAAAGTCTCTTTAATGATCTCGGCGAAGATCGGACGCTTGAATGGAGCACTGCCATCAACGCGGCCCTGTGTCGCACAAAACCAATCGTTAGTTATATGCCAACAAGAGGGTTTTAAAGATAACATACCATGATATCGCCAGGGAAGATGTAGCCAAGGTCATGTACCAGGGCTCCTGACTCGATGGAAGCATGGCCTGGTCTGGTCACCAGGCTTGTCCGAGATGAGGCCATACTCCTTCGGCACGCTGGATTTGCACAGCCCCTTGAGGTTGCCGCGTATGAGCACAACGCGTTGCTCGCCCTGTTGACCGTGGAGAGATGATAGTGTGTGATATCAGTCATGGTCTCATAAAATACCATTACCCTGGCTCACCGACGCAATAATCTTCGCAGCATAGTCACGATCAGCCATCACTTTTGCTGCTATCTCTGGAACATCCTCGATAGTCGCAGCCCCAATGAGAAGGTCAAGCTGAGATGGGACCCGCAGAGAGACGGGATAGATTCCTACAACGCAGCAGTAATCAGATAATAAACCAAGGATGAGTAGCGTGAAACTGTACCACAGTTGAAGGCCGCATCAGCGATGCATTCCTCATGAAAGCGGTTCATGACGCGTGTGACTGATTGCTGCTGGCTACTGAGATTTAACTGACCTTTTGCGTTCAAGACCAGCGCAGTGATATCAGCATCTGGCGGCTGCTCACTGAGAGCAGCAGCTTCTTGGTCGTTGGTCTGGGGTTCAGAGACATTTCCGGCAGTATTGGTGGTGACAGCGCCGGCGGTTATGGTGGTGGTGACAGCACCTTCTTTCCGAGTGGTAGTACTTCCTTTACCAGTTGGAAAGTTGTTGGTCTTGAACCGAGGACGCTTGACCCATCAAGAATATGAGCTGCAGCATTAAAAGAGAAAGCAAATCGTACCTCAAGTTCGGCTTGCAAGGCACGGCTTGTCGTTGTCATCTGTGCACGGCTGTTCGTCTTCTTGTCCTTCAAAAGAGGCGTTAGTAAGAGGTGCAGTGTGTGTCAAGTAGTTGTGCGTACTTTGCTCTTCGTAGTTATGGTTGCGCTCCTGCTTCCCTCCTCATCCTCGTCCTCAAGATCACCTTCATCTTCATCTTCGTCTTCGTCTTCCTCATCTTCATCTTCATCTTCATCAAGCCCCAGTTTGACAGCAAACTCAGAGCCCGATGACTCCAAGTCTTCCTCGTCTTCCTCATCTTCGTCTTCATCGTTATTTTTGGCCTCGGAGTGCTTGGTGGGCTTGCCTGCTTTAGGCTTCTGGCCGACCTTGGTGGCAGAAGCTGCCTCATTGATTACAGGAAGCCTTTCATTACTGCGAGTGGTAGGTGCTACAGCAGATAGGTCAGGCACAGCAGTGATGCGATAGG